AAGGCATGCATTCAAATGAAGGCGAGCGAGGAAGAGGCACTGCCAGCAATTCGGTCTTGTTAGCATGTTGTGAAATCCCTCTAATTAAAATATGTTTTAATGTTATGTTTGATGGTCATAAAATGTCCAAAGAGAAAAATTCACTACCATATATTTGAGGAATAACCTAGACCAAAGAATGTCCCCACAGAAAATGATTGTGAACAGGCTTTCGCTCCTGCATTGTACTGTGCCTAAATTACATGTCACACTTTCCTTATCTCTGACCCAGATGCTAGGAGAGAGGAGAAGAGAAGAAGGGGGTGCAAAGAGCTCGTCATATGGACGCTGCCCCGAAAGTCAGCTAGGGCGCTCAATAGTGTGTTCGTGTCTGTGTTGTTGAGGGCAGGCAGAGGGAAAAAAAGAAAATCGTGATAAAAAGACGACTAAATGCTCCACTAATCCTGCTGTGAATGAGAGCGGCTCGCTGCAGCAGTTCTTTTATGCTCTGTCGATTCCACAGGGAGATAAACACAACGCTGAGCCAGCACCCAGCGCAACCTCACCAACCCCGCTGCACTGTAAGAACTGCGGATTACCTCATTTTATGTCTGTTAACCCATTTAAGCCTACCGGCAACTACAGCTGCCAGAGTGGGCAGAGGGTTTCACGCACCCTCTGTCGGCCATACTGGAGGTCCTCCACTCTACACCTCCGGGACTGTTCAGTGAAGTTGTAACCCCAACATGTGTTTATCAGCTCAGAGCTGTTTCATGACAACATGTAACAATGCCAGTACATCATACTGAGAACATTCCTGCTCTTATAACTTAACTTGTATCATCCTCCATGTTGCTTACGTAGTAGCTTGGTAGGTTTGTTAACTAGCACAGCTTTGTTAACACAACTATTTGCACTGTGAGTTACTGACTTTACTTGGCTAACAGCTAGCAAAAGTAATAGCTAGCACGTTAATATAAACATTAGCTTTATAAAATTAGCTTATATATATATATAGTCACTCATAGACTCTTGATTAGACTCTCGTCTGTTTTACTGTGGTCAGTTTCAAAAAGAACAGTGTAGGACAGAGTACAAAACAGCTATAATAATATGCTGAAATATATGAATATATATATTGATATAAATATATGGTGTCTCACTACCTGCAAAATATATCAATAGACCTTTTTTTTTTATTTAGACGGACCGATCCCAAAAAGGGAAGGGTTATAAAATGTAAATGTGAAGCTATAGGCCCACAGTCTGGACAGTTTAATGTGCTGCAAATGTTTTTATTTAGAAACCAACCTACCTTTCTATGCATCTCAATAAAAAAATTCGGTTAGCACTTACAACAGGTCTTCTCTGTTTATCTCACAATTTCTGGCCACAATTGTTCTCTTTTCTCACACAGACAAGATGCAGCGCGCAATGAGATGACTTACTCAGTCAAATCTCAAAGAAATTAATAGGATGTGGAAAACACTATGGAAATAAGGCTCATTTGAACGTTAACACTCTCCTGAGCATCCATACAGAACTGACATTTCTGTCTGTCGCTATTTCTCATCTCTCCAGTGGGGCAGAAGCTTGAGCGACGAATTAAGCTGCATGCGCATCATAATTGTAAGAATTCACCATGTCTCTTTCCATAGCACTTTGTTGCATTTTGCTTTTAGTTATACACCCACCTTTCCACTTTTTCCCCAACAAAAGTGCATGGATGGAAAGAAGCGCACTCCTGTCAGCCTCCTGTCTGCCTGATGGCATGATAACAGAAAATTCTGTTAAATTGTCATGTAGCCGCATGTTTTTATTGATACATGTAAACTAAAGACATCTCCTCAAGCTCTGTAGAACCACCCACTTTAAAACAAAATTGTAGGTCAGGTCTGTTAATTGTGTCTAGCCTACTCCATTACTGAATAACGTGGTGCTTTTTCACATAGTGATTGATGCTCTCAATGTAAAATGTGAAAGCATGACCTTTTTTTTTATTAAAAACATTCCATCAGGTCTTCACTGCTGGGGTTACTGTACTGTACTGGGGTAAACTCATAACAACTCATGCACTGCTGTAAATATTAATAAGCCTCCCCTGATTAAAAAAAAAAAAGAATAAAAACCTTTGGTCAGTGTATGTTTATGAAAATGTTCCAGCATTTTTAACTGACATCTTTTATACAGTGTAATATAGCGCTGCGGAGCTCCGTCCGGCAACATCAGTCTGACGGCCCATTGCCATGACGATGTCTATGGGGGAGGGGTCTGTGGAAATGGAGGATGGCAACACAGCGAGGAAAGCTATGGCTGTGTCCTCCTTTGATTCCCTCCTTCCTTCTGTATTTACTCTTCATCTTTTTTTGCTCCTTCCTTCCTCCTTTCACTCACTCGTCCCTGTCATTTCTCCTTTTTACCTTTCCTCGCACCTTTTTTTTCCTTTCCTTCCTTCCTTCTTCTTCTCTTAACAACTTCCTGCCTTCCCCAGCCTTCATGCCCCTTTCCTTTTCTTCCTTCCTTCATTTTTCCCAACCTCCCTCCCTCCTTTCGACCTTCCCTTCATTATTCCTTTCACGTTCCTTCTTTCCATCTCATTACCCTCCACCAATCCTTTTCTCTTCCTTGTCCCCCCTCCATCTCTTTCTCCCCTTCCTTCCTTTCAATATACCTGTTCACGTCCTTCTACTCCCTTTTCCTTGTTACACTCCCTGCTTTATATCCTCCGTCTGCCCCTCACTGTGTCCTTCCCCATTCCTTCCCTCCCTCGTTCCTTTCTAGCCTTGAAGAAAAGCCAGGATGATGTATCCTAGCAACAGTGACATCCTGCCCATTCAGCTTCAGCATGAACCTCATTTAATTTTTGGATGAAGAGGAGCAAGGTTGTGATTGGAGGAAGTAGATGGGAGAGAAGGTTAAAGAACGGTAATACCTGGATATCTTTTGAAAACTGTACAGGTCTGTAGCCACTGTCAATCACACAGCATTCATTTAAACAATAAAGACATCTGAAGTTTCCTAGCCACTGATGCACTATATATACCTAATTTATGTATGTATACACACTGAACAACATCATAAACGCAACACTTTTGTTTTTGACCCCATTCATCATGAGCTGATCTCAAAGATCTAAGACTTTCTCTATGTACACAAAAGGCCTATTTCTCTCAAATATTGTTCACAGATCTGTCAAAATCTGTGTTAGTGAGCACTTCTCCTTTACCGAGATAATCCATCCACCTCACAGGTGTGGCATATCAAGATGCTGATCAGACAGCATGGGGATTGCACAGGTGTGCCTTAGGCTGGTCACAATAAAAGGCCACTCGAAAATGTGCAGTTTCACTGTATTGGGGGTCCGGACAGTAACAGTAAACATCTGGTGTGACCACCATTTGCCTCACGCAGTGCAACACATCTCCTTCACATAGAGTTGATCAGGTTGTTCATTGTGGCCTGTGGAATGTTGGAGGCAGGTGTGGTTACACGTGGTCTGTGGTCGTGAGGCCGGTTGGATGTACTGCCAAGTTCTCTGAAACGCCTTTGGAGATGGCTCAATTCACGGGTAACAGCTCTGGTGGACTTTCTTGCAGTCAGCAGAGAAGTGCTCACTAACACAGATTTTGACAGATTTGTGAACAATATTTGAGAGAAATAGGGCTTTTGTGTACATAGAGAAAGTTCAGCTCATGATGAATGGGCGCAAAAAAACCAAAAGTGTTGCGTTTATAATTTTGTTCAGTGTGTATATTTACATATAGAAAATTGCTCTTTGTAGAGATATTCAAAAGTTGATAGTTATGATATTCATCCCCTGCCAGGGAAAGTGCAGAAAAGGTATGTCAATATATATTGAGTGAAAGAAAAAAGTAAATAAATACTGCAGAAAAAGACTGGAATAGTAAAAGTAAAATCCATTTTTGTCTTGTTAGAAATGATTGAACACACCACCACTGTAATATTCTCAGAAAATACTTTACTATACTATCCTTGCCTGACTGATGTTTAAGATTTTATAAGGCAAAGTTCACCCCCCACTTAATACTTTTACAGTACAATTAAGCAGGAAAGCTCGAACAACAGGGCTACTCGGTCTGCTCTTAGAGGGTGTTAGGTGGATATTAACCCGCTCTTTCATCCAGTCTTACCTTAGCAACTGAAATAGAATAAAACTGTACAATTTATCACACCTTTATACAAAGACCTGGCTCTGAAAAGTCAGACATGTGAACACTCTTAATGCACAAACTAAATTTGCTACCTTTGACCATTATCATTATTTTGCTGACTTGCCGCTAACGTGTCCCATGTCATATGCCTGTTGTCAGCTTTAGCTATGTTTGCACATTTATATTTGGTAGAATTTTATTAATAATGTGACAATATGGCTACAGTATTACATTTTCTTATGACTATTGTGCTGCAGGCTTAAATGTTTAGTGTGTGATACTGCCATGCTACCAAATTATTTGAACATCTTTTTAGGACTGATAACTAATTGGTTGTTAAACACTTGACTTTATGTCTTATAGCTCTGCATAACTAATGTGTACAAACCGAGGTTAGCAGCAGTATTGTTCTGTTGCTTTGTATAGCTTTGCATGGCTGTATGTGCTGAATGTGGTCATTGTGTTTAGCTGCAGCCTGTTGCTCTGCATGACTTGTTGCATCTGTTATCATTTTCTGGTTTAAGTACATGTTGCTATGATGTCGCTATGACGGCAGCTGAAACTAACACTGATATATTTACAGACATGTTGATTAATGTGTGTTGTCTTTATAAATAAAGAAATGAAATGAACCTTGAAGGATGACTTTTGAACCACTTGGCGAACTGATTTCTATGTTGTAATTTTAATGTGAAACATTGAGTTGTTCCGAAAGTACCTATAGCACTATGATCATCGCCAAACCTGTGGGAAACCTCAAAACATGACCAGCCTACTATAACTGCAGTAGAAGGGTGAAGCAACACAGGAAGGAGAGGAGTGTTTTCATTAATTTGCTCAAGTGAAATTGAAAGTAATTTAGATGAAACACAGCGCAGCAGTCAGGAAGTCTATAAAGAAAACTCAATATCCATGAAAACTTTCTCAACAAGATAATCCGCGACAAACTTGTGAGTACAGTATTTTTTCTGTTTTTTTCTGTTTAATAATATGAAATGGGGCTATGCCTAAAAAGGAAGTTCTCTCTTTTCATTTTGCAGTTTTCTGACTTAACACATTAGGTCCAATGTAAGTGGCTGAACAATTCAAAATGATCTTGTCTCATATTCGTCAAAATTCGTCACTATATTATAATTAAACAAATACTTTCACATTTTTGCTTTTCTGTTCTCAGTGTGTTGACATGGCAGCAGCCAGCAGTCTCCTCTCAGAAGATCAGTTTCGGTGCTGCATCTGTCTGGATGTGTTCACTGATCCGGTCACCGTGCCATGTGGACACAACTTCTGCAAGAGCTGCATCACAGAACACTGGAATATTAATGTTCAGTGCCGGTGTCCCATGTGTAATAAAATTTTTGACAGGAGACCGGAGTTGTATGTCAACATGTTCATATCTGAGATGGCTGCTCAGTTCAGACAGTCAGGTGGAAAGGAAATGCCCAGCAGCTCAGAGCAACAACGAGCCAGACCAGGAGAGGTTCTCTGTGATATCTGCACTGAAACCAAACTGAAGGCCCTGAAGTCCTGCCTAATGTGTCTGACCTCATACTGCGAAACTCACCTGGAGCCTCATCAGAGAATCACCGGCCTGAAAAAACACAAGCTGATCGACCCTGTGGAGAACCTGGAAAGCAGGATGTGTAAGAAGCACGAGAGGCCCCTGGAGCTGTTCTGCAAGACTGACCAGAGGTGTGTGTGTCGGTTCTGCAGCGAGGCAAGTCATAAGAGGCATCATAGTGTTCCTCTGAAAGATGAATATGAAACAAAGAAAGCTGCACTTGGGAAGACAGAGGCTAAAGTTCAGCACATGATCCAGGAGAGACAACGGAAGATTCGGGAGGTCAAACATTCAGTGGAGCTCAGCAAGGAAGATGCGGACAGAACGCTAGCAGACGGTGTGCAGGTCTTCTTTAATATGATGCAGTCTGTCGAGGAAGGCCTGGCTCAGCTCATAGGCACGATTGAAGGGAAGCAAAAAACAACAGAGAATCAGGCCAAAGGCTTCATCAAAGAGCTGGAGATGGAAATCTTCGAGCTGATGAAGAGACGCTCTGAGCTTGAGCAGCTCGCTCGCACTGAGGACCACCTCCACCTCCTTCAAAGCTTCCCATCCTTGGACACTGCTCTACCCACCAAGGACTGGACAGAGGTCAGAGTTCACTCATCATACGAGGGGACTGTGAGGAGAGCTGTGGCTCAGCTGGAGGAGACACTCCGTAAAGAGATGAAGAAACTGCTCGCGGCTGAACTGAAGACAGCCCAGCAGTATGCAGTGAATGTGACTCTCAATCCAGAAACAGCCCATCCTAAACTCATCCTGTCTGATGACGGGAAACGAGCAGCTCATGGCGACGTGAAACAGAATCTTCCGGACAACCCAGAGAGATTTACCTCATGCTGTGGTGTGTTGGCGAATCAGAGTTTCTCTTCGGGAAGATTTTACTATGAGGTTCAGGTTAAAGAGAAGACTGGCTGGACTTTAGGAGTGGCCAGAGAGTCGACAAACAGGAAGGGAGAAATTAAAGTTTGCCCCAGGAATGGATACTGGACTGTCTGGTTGAGAAATGGAAATGTATATCACGCTAACACCAGCCCTCCTGTCCGTCTCGCGCTGAAGTCAAAGCCTCAGAAGGTGGGGGTGTTTGTGGATTATGAGGAGTGTCTGGTCTGTTTTTATGATGTAGATGCTGAAGATCATATCTACTCCTTTACTGGCTGTAAGTTCAGAGTGAAACTCCATCCATACTTCAGTCCATGTCTCAACGACGGTGGTAGAAACTCTGCCCCTCTGATTATCTCGCCTGTCAATAACACATATTTGACTAATGAGTAGATTTTCTAAAGATAAGACTTCACATTAACGTAATACTAAAAGGGGGTGCTTGTAGTGATGATCCCACACCTTTATAGAGCCTTTTAGCTCATTGTTTTAGGTGTAGGAGTCATGCGTTTACTGCTTTTATAAACCAACACATTCTGACTCCCAACTCTACAAATATGGGCGCTTGGTCAAGACCCCTTGGCCTCGCTTTTTAACGTCCTGGCCTTGGATACCCTGTTTATGCAGCAGCCCTATTCTAGCATTCACCTTTTGTTAGCATCAGCTTGGAAGCGTGCTTGTATATTAGGAGGATTTGACACATAGTTAAGTATGAGCTTGATTACATTTCATTTTTGGGAGCCGGCCCATATAAAAGGGAGGCCTCAGTATTAGTGTGTGTTTTGCATAAATGAACAATGAGAGGGTGGCCGGACAGATGCAGAGTGGCTGGGTCTCTTGAGACTGGAAACAGAGGGAGCTGTTGGAATACAATGTTGAGCCTTCTTAAAATGTCGCAGCCCTAAATGAACAAAACACAGATGAAGGCAGGTTTATACTGTCAGCCTGAAAGCACGAGTTAGGTAGTGAAAGTGGTCCGATTTACCTGAACAGTCAAAAAACAAATAAAACAAATAAAAAATAAAATAAAAGCCTCAAAAAAAATGGTTTAAGACCCCAAAGATTTGTGTTAGATCTCTTTTAATGAACGAGACAATGCCATTTTTGGTAGCTCTATTTTCTCCACAGACGTTGCATATTAAGGCTGTTTACACCTGGCATCAGAATGCATTTTGGGTGATCGGGTAGCACTTGACCACGTGAAAGTACATGTGTAAATGCAGACAAACAGATTGTGATCCGAGCAAGAAAGGGAAGCAAATGCGTTGTCTATCCTCATACAACAGCTTCTTGGACGGAAATATGTACAGCCTGTAAATAAAATACAAAAGTCTGACAGCGCAGACAGGCGCCCAGACAGTGTGTCCATATTAGTCCATATGAGTATCTTCAACCAAGTCCAGTTGCCCTTGACTTTAACCTTCTTTGGATAACTATGACCTGGATGGCTGAGAACCGTCACAGACGTGTCCATACAGTGTGCTCAAACAGTGCCGATAATTGTTCCTGCTCGTGTTTTTGGTGAACTGATCGGGATTTCTGAACATGAACTCATGCTAGGGCTGGGCAATAAAACAATAATGATAATCATCGCTATATAATTTTCCTCAATACAGAGACGGGGACTCGAGTTTGAGACTCGTACTCAAGAGACTTCAGACTTGACTCGGACTCGAGGTGCGGGGCTCGTGAACAATGCGCGCGACCACATGTGAGAGAGGACAACAAACAGCTACTGAGCCATTCATCAAAACTTTGGCTTTAAAACTTCATGGTAGGGTTAACTCCGACTGTCGTTCGTTATGAAAAGAGCATTTGTTTACTTGCCAAACTTGTGGTGGTCGATTAACGTAATCATTTACATCCTGCTGGCTGCCATCACGTTAATTATTAACACTGGCTGCAAACATGTTACAGGTTTATTGTTGATCATGCAAAGTTACAGTTTTATTTAGTTACACTGAGTTTGAGAGTCTGCGGGGTGTTTTGACTTACAGTAGTAATAAGCTGTCATTAATTGCATTGTACATTACATGGTTGTGCTCTGTAAGTACAAAACAGGTTACAGTTACAGAATTCCTTATAGCCATGCAGTTTTATAAGCAGCTGCATTGAACGCAGCAGGTGATACAACATTCATTATAGTGACTTGAGACTTGACTTGAACTCTAGCTCAAAGACTTGTGAGCAATCAGCCTCAGTAACAAAATAACAATTATTGAATAAATATTTGATTTAATTCATTTGGATCACAAATAAATTAGCACTTTCTTTTCTCTTAAGATATTTATTTTGTTGAGGAAAAGGGACTAAAAAAAAGATTGTACTTCATTTTACTCTTACAAATATGTTGTTTTGAAGGTTCTACCTCAGCATTGTGAAGTGAGCCACTGTTTAATACCAGACTGAAGTGTTTGTTCTAACCATAATGAAACACTATTGACAATCTGGTTTCTTCAACTTTCACTCAGGAGCTAAAATCAGACTTTATCACTATCAAATGATATGGAAAGTTTTTATTGTTTCACATGTTTGGCCATGTCGCCCAGCCCTAACTCATGCACTGCTGTGTTAATCTCAATATAAACTAACGTTACTAAAATAACAGAGTAGCCTACACATTTTAAAGAAATATGGCAAGAAAACGCTTCCGGACCGAACTTAAGTTTCACTTTCACTTTGCGGCCGAGCTATATGACTTACAGGCGCACCTCACGGGGAAAAGACACGCTTTAGAAAGTTATTTGAACCTTGTCTAGTTATAGATCATTTTTGGACCCGCGCAAATGGGAAGAGGATTCGGTTGTTTGAGCTACAACGATCGGATCTTCCTCCAACCACTTAAAACTTAAACATGCGTCTCCCATTATCTTGCACGACTGACGATAATGAAATATGACACGCTGCAAGACGTCTGCAGCTACCGATAATACAAATTATAAAATTAATGGCGCGGTCTCACATTGTCTAATATTAAGTTAATTAAACAAATATACGCTAACTAGACGTTTTACGGTGTGCCACTGTGTTCGACAATCCCCGCACAAGCCTTAAACGCACCATCGTCAAATGTAATACCTACAGCTAATTTACGGTAAATTTCAGACAATTTAAGTCCTTAATTTCCCCGATTTTATTTTAAAGCCTTGTAAGGAGCCGCGGGATCCCTGCAGTTATATGATTGCTTGCTTCAGGTGATTAGCTTACATTACTAAATCAATTATTCAAGCTCAGTCCAATCTGATCCACTCTGATAACTGATTATATATATATATAACCAAAAAAAGTAACTATGAGAGGAACTCCCAACATTTACAGTGGTAAATAAAAAATGTTTTATTGTTATGTGAGGATAGATCGTTGGTTCTGTATTGGATGGAGACATTTTCTGAAGAGCTCTTTCTGAATGAGACTGAACTGTGTATTGTGTATTTACATTACAATAAAGTAGTCAAAGTCTCTATGAATCTTCTGTATCCCAGTTGTTGTGTGTTCAGACGTGTTTTTGTTCCTGTTCATTAGTTGTTAGTTAGCAGGATGCTGCAAAAAGTATACTTAACAGAATTGCATGACATTTGGTAGACCTCGAGACCATGACTCAAGAACTGTTGCTGCAGACAACACTGCTGAATGGCTTTTTATAAAGCACTTTACATGTTTTATTTTATTTCCAATTCAGGCACAGGAGTGAACTATTCCGTGTCTTGTCTTGTTTTGTAATTCACTTCAGACAGGAAATGCAAAATTGTTTCTACACCACATGACTTAATAAAAGAGAAAGTAAAAAATCCGAATCAGCAGAGCTGCTGCAATCAAGTTTTTATCGCTCTACAATATGCAGACATATACAACTTGGTTCAACAAAGACCTCTTCAGTTTAACATACACAGGTAAGTAAAGTAATTCATAATAAATCAAACAACTTACATCAACACATTTGATGTGGATCTAGTGAATCTCTGCATTTAAAGTTCTTTAATAAACATGTCAAAAGGTTTGAATGACTTAAGTCATTCCAAATAAGTGTTTCCCTAATAAAACATTTACATATAATAGTATACTTTAAATAAATAGGCCTACTCTGAGATTGATGCATTTTATTTATGTTATTTTATACTTTCACTTTGTGTTGTTAGTGTATAAACATGGCAGCAGCCAGCACTCTCATCTTTGAAGATCAGTGTCGGTGCTGCATCTGTCTGGACGTGTTCACTGATCCAGTCACCATACCATGTGGACACAACTTCTGCAAATCCTGCATCACGGAACACTGGAATATCACAGTCCCCCACCAGTGTCCTTTGTGTAAAGAGTTTTTTGACAGAAGACCTGAACTGCGGGTCAACACCTTTATTTCTGATATGGCTTCGCAGTTCAGACAGCCAGCCATAAAGAAAGTTGGTAACTTCTCAGAACAAGAATGTGCAAACCCGGAGGAGGTTCTCTGCGATGTCTGCACTGAACCCAAACTGAAGGCCCTGAAGTCCTGCCTGGTGTGTGTGACCTCATACTGCGAGACTCACCTGAAACCTCACCAGACATTCGCCGGCCTGAAAAAACACAAGCTGATCGACCCTGTGGAGAACCTGGAAAGCAGGATGTGTAAGAAGCACGATTGGCCTCTGGAGCTGCTCTGCAAGACTGAGTAGAGGTGTGTGTCCCAGGTGCAAACAGATCACAAGAGACATCATGTGGCCCCTCTTGAAGAAAATAAGGCAGAGCTGGAAGAGACTTAGGCTGAAGTTCAGCAGAAGGTCCAGCAGATCGAACAGTCAGTGACACACAGCAAGGAAGATTCCTACAGTGTCCAGATGTTCACCGCTCTGATTCAGTCTGTTAAGAGAGGTCAGTTGATTGACTGATTGAACCTCTTTATTGACTATAAATAGAAAAGTGGTGCCTCTAGCCAGAGATGCCCCAACTACAAAAGATCTGGCTGAGCTAGCTCACAAGATCAAACAGACACAGAAAACAGAGAAAAAGGCTGAAAGTGTCATCAAAGAGCTGGAAGGGGAAATCTCTGAGCTGATGGTAGAGAAGCGCTGAGCTGAGGCAGCTCTTACACACAAGACCACTTCCAGCACCTCCAAAACTTCCCGTTCTGGAACCCTGCTCCTGTCTATTCATGTTATGAGACTGAGTGGACGTGTCTCTTAATCCTGATACTGTAAATCCCTGTCTCATCCTGTCTGATACCCCAGAGAGATTGTCCTCTTGTGCAATCTCAGGGAGGCAGAGTCTCTCTTCGAGCAGGAAGACTGTCCTCACGCGTCACTCATTCACAACTCTCTCTTATTCACTCCTTCCCCCCTATCAGCTCGCCATGGGCGTTCCCATCGAGTTTACCAATCAGGTTTCACCACGGTCACCTCAGCCAATCACCAAGTCACTATCACACTTTAAATCTGTTCTCTCTCTCTCTGCTCACAGCTGTCATTTCAGTATGAATGGCTGCTGCCCTCGTCCGCCCCATTCACCTCCGGCACACCAGAACCAGGAAACCTCGGATACTTTTTAACTTTGCAAGCTGATGAAGTCCGCCCAAGTGCACCATGTGTTTTGATCTCTTAGAGGATGGACAATTTTGGGAGGAGGTATGAACTTGGTGTTACGGTCTTCAAGTCTTGGGAAGCAGTGGTTCTAAAACCTTTTCAAGACACACCTAAACAAATTAGACCATGGACCAAGATTTTGTCCCAGGGTCCCCCATCTGATAGTATATTTGCATTTAGATGTTTTATTACAGGATGGAACAGCATGGAAATGGATGGAATTAAGAAATTGTGATTTACATATTACATTTTAAATTATGTTTTTTTTTTGTCAACTTTCCTCTGGGGACCCCCCTGGGAGACGTTGAGACTCATGTTTGTGGGTTGTGTCTTTTATTAAGGAGCCACTTCTTTCCCTTGTGAAGGAAGTGGCTCCTTAATTGGGGTGTGGCTTGAAAAATTACATAATGACTTCTTCATAAATATCTGTGAATTGACATCCTGACCAATTTCTTCATGGGACGTTCATCATTATCGCCGAACTAGCTGCGGCACAAAACTAGTAACGACTAGTTAATCACTAGTTACTCTTTTTGTGCCCCTCAAGTAAACTGATTCATCATACCGAGTACCAGTACCTGATGATTCATTAATATATAATCTTCAGTCAGTTCTCCAGTAAATCATCATTATAGTCCTCCCCTGTGTCCCGTAGTGTCAGTGTTACCCTTCTGCTTCTTCTTCCTCTTGCACTGCCTTTGTTCCCCCTTGCCACTCACTTTCTTTCCCTCCTCTCTTCCCTTTTTATACTCCCTCCTTCTTCTCCCTTCCTCCTCCCCCACAGCAGCACCAAGGTGTTGGTAGCAGAGCAGCGAAGTAGGGAGGGGATGGAGTGGGGAATGGTATCAGATGTTCTGTTGTTATCTGAGATGGACAGGAAGGACTGTTCCGCCCAATCAACCTCCGTCAACGTCCTTGGATGAGTAAATGACACTGGGGACGCCTGGACTGTGGATTCAGACAACTGTCTGGGTAGATCAGGGCTGCACGAGCTCACTTGGACACCACTTTCAAGCCTCCAAGTGCATTTTGGTGAAATTCAAGGACAGTTGTTAGGTGTTTTCTGGAATTCATGATGTGACGATTTCAGAAGTTGATTTATTCTCAGGAAGAATTCTCAATTTCATAATTTCTATTGAGGAATTGTGTGGGAACTTTATAGATATTGCAGTCCTTATTAACAACTGTGGCAATGATTTATAATTTCAGACAAGAGAAGTACAAAATGTTCCACATTTATACTTTTAATATCACAAGGTATCACCCTGCCTCTTGTAATTATCTCTATTTTAATATCCTTTCATGTCCTTTGTGCTGACCCACAATGGATAAATAAAGTGATTCTGAATGAACAATTATGTAAAATATTTTATGAGAATCCCTGAATATCTATCTTTCTTACCTTCATGTTTCCTCAGCACAATCACAGTCTTCTACCTTTTGCATAGAGCAGCTTACAGCTAGAGGTTAGGTGCTTGGCTTAAGGGCACTTTAACAACTGCTGAAAGGCTGGTCCATGGATATGAAACTGCAATCGTCCAGCCTCATCGCTCTGTAACCTCCAGGCTGCATAGGATCATCAGATTATTAGAAAAAACAAAGGGTGAACCTGACATATGGGGTCATAGCTGGATGTGGATGTGTATGTGGATGTGTGTGGTTCAGGAAATCCCAGTAACAGGGTCTGGTCAGCTCAAACTGAGCTAGAAGAAGACTGTATGTCCCCCTCTATAGGTGGCTGAGTTGTTTTACAGTATATTATTACAGTAACACTAGCTTATTAGGGCCCCAATATTTTAATAATGGGGCTAACATAAACACATTTTCATACTGATATTACATACATTAAAATTCAAAGACGTCAACTTATAAAAGAGGTCATATTATGCTCATTTCCAGGTTCATAATTTTATTTAGGTGTTGTACCAAAATAGGGTTACGTGGTTTCATTTTCTAAAAACACCATATTTTTGTCATATTGCATATTGCTGCAGCTCCTGTTTTCACCCTGGGCTGTGAAAACTCCGTTTTTGTTCTGCCTTTTTAACTCCGTTGTGTTTACAAACTTGTTGCAGCTGATTGGGTAACACCCGAAAAACGCCAACCAAACAGAAGAAAACGTACCTCGAGGCCCGTTGTCACGTCTTGTCACTGTGTGTGCTGCAGCTCAGTGTGTTTCTCCACCAGTGTTTTTGAGGGCGTGCCACACTAGCCGCTACGCTATTATGACGGGTGTTACAAAGTGACGCAGAAAGTTTAAAGAAGTGAAGGCTGAACTACAAACGAGCTGTTTTCAGGCAGTTCAGGAGCAGTGTTTTCTGTGGGAGATGGTAACTCCCTTTGGCGTGGACTTTGGGCTTTTTTACATAGCAAACTTGTTACATGCACAAAAAAGATATAAAACACAATAAAAGAGAGGGAAAAAGCCTCTTTCTTTTTCTAATCTTTTTTTTATAGTTATCCAATTCTTATTATTCATGGCACAGTAGTCTTTTAGCACATGGGCTTATCAGATGGGACTGAAATGTGGTTTGTCATGCTTGAAAAGAATGCACATGAAATTGAAGTGAAAGATAAAAAACAGCTTCAGTTACCTTTTAACTGGAAGAATATGAAATTGCTTATTTGATGATAAGATGGCATCCAAGTAAACAATTCCAAACAAACTTTAAAAAATCTTTCCCATTCATCTGTCTCATACACACTTGGATTTCATTCGATGTTTCAGGGCTGCTTCAATCTATTTTCATTTTATCTTACTGTTATTCATTTATTGTACTGTATTTGGTTTTTCTGATGTTATTCAGATTCTGTTCTCCAATCCAGATGAGTCCTGGCCTGAATTTGGACTTTAATTCTCAGCAATTTCATGTTTCCAGATGAAACTTCTTTGACCTCATCTATACTTTGTAGTCACTTGCATAATAATACAGTCTTCTAGATTTTAATCCATGCAATACCCCTTTGCAGTTACTAAACTACACATAAAATTATAATGGACACTTTTCGGACAGATAATCTAAACAATGATGACAGTCACCACCTCCTCATAAAATATGAAATACAGAAAGAAAAATAAACGCCATAAACAGTTGCTTTGGACAGTGATGTGTATCTTTACACCAAACACAAACAGAAGACCCCACGGTGTCATTTGTTTTTTTATTCTGTGTTACATGCGACCATAAACTTCTAGGAAGTTATAGTTGCCATGGAGATACAGTAAATATATTCGGGTAAAAGGGCAGGGCTGTGTGTGGGTTGACATTGACAGTGTGCACAAGTTGAGGACAGTCGCTTGTGTGTGACGCCAAGTAACGAGGAGTGGAATAAAACCAACTTTAAAATCAGCATTGAAAAACAAACGTTTAACAAGAAACGAGAACAGTGATCTAATGCTACAAGCAGAGGAAACATAAAACTACGTACAAAATAGGAATAAATAAAATGGTTTATCTTACAGACACAGCAACAACAACAGACAGCAGAGATGTTTATTTCCCTCTGAATTTGGTGTGCGTGAGAGAGCGAGAGAGGGACAAGGACGACAATGGAGAGGAGTGGTCTCTCTCCCTCCCTCCCTCTCCTGTGGCAGGAATCAGCATCTGGAAAACTACGGGTGAGTTACAACGGCGACGCTTCAGGAGGGGAGGCGGGGGGGCTGGGTGGGGTGGTGAGCTGTGGAGCCGGAGTCAGACTAGTTTCTAAGGCTTCGTATGGCACGTCCACGCTAAAACACTACAGTGACTAGAAGCCATCGCCAGGGTCCCAGTCCAGCTCTGTGTCCTCCCACCAATTACATCATTCCCTTATTAGTTTAGACTTAGACTCTGGCTATGCTTGTATGCTCCACACCACACCCCCCCAACATCCCTGCCGACCTCATATCACCTCCGCTAACCCCTATCTACCCCCCTCCCCAGTCCAACTCTAGAAGGCACTGGTATATACTTATTTCTCCACATTCTAACATCAGGTTTCTCTATTTAAGATGAGCGATTGAGGCAATGAGGATACACAAAAATACACGTACAGATACACACGGGCCAGCCGGGTAACTTACGGGGGGGGGGGTTCAGCTGTCTCCCGACGATGCAACCAGTCTTTCTTTTAAACGTGTGTTAGCGTTACAAAGTTTTCATCGCTGAACAGTCTGCTGACGGCGGAGGCAATCGGATATGTAAACGTCGACAAGGCTAACATCATGACAGGCGAAGAGATATACAAAATCAATGTTCAGACGAGTGGTTTGGATCTTTTTTGAACTGCCTCAGTCAGTAGTTACTTGCATCTTAGGAGAAAATCCTGACAGATGGTGTACTAAAAAGGTCAGGTATGGGTTCTAATATGCTGCCTTCATCCTTGGTTGATACTTGAAAACAAATAGAGTTTCCAAACTAACTTTTCAGCATAGAAACTAGATTTCCAGTTTGTTTTTATGTGTAAAAAAACACTAAACACAGCCCTTAACTCAGTCAGTCCTCATAAGTCATAGTCCTCATAACCCTGTACACTTTCAGGGTATTATGTTCAGCATTTATTTTATCTAGCATCCTGTTTAAGGTGACTTTTAACATTTCACAATCCCTGTTTCCAAAGAGAAAGGCAATAGATTGGAACCACAATGTATACTACCAACAAATTCTGCAACTACAGCTGTATCACAGCAACGTCTTGAGGCCTTTTGGATAAAAGTTCGCTGGGAATCTAACCGCGGACCCCGCTGATCTGATTCGTTTTTTTGCCCATGTCCATGTGTATCTACAGAGCAGTGGACAGAAAGACACACGAGGCTGAAAAGACTGGCTTGTGCACAGCGCGCGGGAGTGTCTGTATTGCGAACCTTTGTGTTGAAATGCCACGCGCTACACGCAGGGAACGAGTCGTCCCGTAGGATATTTACACAGTGAACAAGGCCGAACCCTAATCTACACACTGAGTTTGGCTGGTACTTGCGTACATTTGGAATGGTTTACTATGGTGACAGTAGTAATTAGAAAAAGTCTATCTCCTCCTCCCACTAGTCGCTTACTAAAGTGTCTATTCTAGTTTTCCTGGTTAACATCTGAGGAGCAAAAGCGCTGGAAGCAATGACTGATGCTCTGAAGTTGACTTGATGGAGTGTTAAAGGTTTTCTCTTCCATGGCTTGGTCTGGAGTCAGTTTATATATTTTTGAGACCATTCTTTAGACAAGCTACTCTGTATAACTTTTATCTTTTGTCTATATGATTCCAGGACATGAAATACAACTTAAAATTATTTTAAATCACTTCTTTTAAAGGAATAGTAAGAGTTTATTTGGGAAAATTATTCATTGTCCTGCCATAAATTAGACGAGAACATTCACACCACTCTGTCTGTACAATAAATATGAAGCTAAAGATGTCAGCCATTTAGCTTAGCTTAGCATTAAGACTCTAAATAGCTAGCCTGGCTCTGTCCAAAGGTAACAAAATCCAAATTTACTTTTACTTTTTTAATACAGATTATACTAATTAGATGTGTTAACTTGTGAGCTTTAGAGGGGCTGGTAGATGGATTTTGTTACCTTTGGGTAGAGCCAGGCTAGCTGTTTTCCTCGATTTCCAGTCTTTATGCTAAGCTAAGCAGCTCCTGGCTGTAGTAAACGCACATATGAGTGTTATTTATCTTTCCATCTAACTCTTGGCAAAAAAGCAAATAAAGGCATTACCTTTAACGTGCTATTGGGTCTAAGAAGGACATTTTTAGACTCCATCACTTATTTTTGCTGTCTTTGAACTCATACCAACTACCTTTACCTGAAAGTACGGCAGTGATCACTGAACCCATGAGAAATCACATATTTTTGACCCTCTGTTGATGCTCCAAAACTCCAAAAGTGGAAATGATAAAAATAATGGCTGTATTAACATGAACATCTGACGTTTCCAGTGCATTTGTGCCTTCAGACAAAATACTGTACATAGGGCTAATATCCTAACCACGCTCCTCTGTATGTACATGCTACCTACAGTATACAATGACGTGTTGAATAGCTGATTTTTTTCCTCAAACACTGACTTTGTATGCAAAAGGTAAAGTTTTAATTTACAGCAGAAATTATAGCTTCTGTTCTTTTTGACTAATCACTTGTTTAATTTGTCTTCCTCATCCATCTCCTCGTGTGGAAACCCCAGCCGATACGAAAGTATCGCATAATAAAAAAATAAAAAGTCACATAAATAGGACCACTTTGTTTTTCTCTCCCTTATTGTCGCTTTTTGTTCCAAGCAGACCTCTATTCACATAGGACAGAACAAGCGAAGAAACAAAACAATTAAAAGAAAACATTAAAATTAAAGGTATCTTTTTATCTGTGTTACCATCTGAGTCGTGGTACTTGTCTCCATGTTTAACAGTTCTCTGTCTTTTTGAGGTGAAATGTGGACCAACAGAGTAGTTTCACTCCAGAAAAAAACAAAACAAAACAAACAACAGCTAAAAATGGCTGCTGTCTTTGCCTCCTACATTAAGGCAAATCAAGATGCTCCAGAGTGGCAGTCGAGACTTCATCACACCAAAATCTCAACCCCAACAACTTTGACTTATCTGCGCCCCTCTCCGCTTTGAAATTTGTGGATCTCCCCAGAGTTTTGGAATGGACTGGTTAAAAATAAACATTTAAAAAAAGTCTCTCTTTGTGTGGCAGTCTCCACTTTTCTGGACATGTGTAGGTGGATTTAATAAAGACAGGGATGAAGAGAATTGGAGGACACTGGTTGTAGTCACTTTTTGTGAGAGGTCAAAGTTCGCGTCTCCCCCAATGTGACGCCTAATGTTCAGAGAGTGTGAGTGTGTGTGTGTGTGTGTGTGTGTGTGTGTGTGTGAGTGTGTGTGTAAGGGGAACAGTCTCTCTGTGGCGTATGGCTGCTACTTGAAGACATAATTGATTAGGACCTGAAGGAGGATGAGGAAAACAATGATGACGTAGTCGCGCTGTTGGAGGAAAGAGCCACCCTCTGGCCGGCCTGCTGCACGACTCCGCAGCACACTGATGTTCCTAACAACACACAGGAATTATGGTTAGATGCTCAAAAGGTAGGCATCATATCAAGCTCATGACATAGAGTGACTAATTCCCTTCTCACCTATTAATGTCCTCCTGCGTCTTCTTTATAGATTCAATGGCACTTTGAAGTTCACTGAGGTCAGCTGCTTTTTTCCTCATCCGACTGTTATGCTTGCTTTTGTGTCCTGCAACAAAGTGTGTTGAACATGGTTTCGGTAGTGTTCCTCCAAATTACATTTTTAATAGCACATTGAATGCAACTGAATAATACTGGTCAAAAATTAAGTAAAACCAGTAGGGAAAACACTTATTTAATAAGTACATGAGTTTATTGAAATTTTGATAACATTTTTATCTGCACTTCCCAGCTGAATATAACTCCTAGTGATATAATCAGTTTGACACATCCCCATTATTAGTTGATGAGCTTTCTAGCTACTATGGCTAGCATCTGTGTTTGCTAAAGGTTTGATGGCACTGACTGAAGATTCCACAAAAAGGATTCAACAGCCGCTTTTGCTCACAATCCACTGTCGCACCAGTCTCAAACAAAAAATGTACTAACTAATGCAACTGTCTAGTGGTCGACCGATATGAGTTTTTCAATGGCCAATGCCAATGCAGATATTTAGGGAGCAGGGCGGCCTATGGCTGATACCAAAACAGAGAAAGGTCATGTGTAATTCCATTATTCCATGCCGAGGACATCTAAAATACATGGTACATGGCATCTTAGCCAGTAGCATTTTGTTTTAGAAGGACTTTTAATTAATAAAATAGAAAAACACTTTAGGTTCTGCTGTAGATTTCAGATTTTTTAAGGGAGAGCGGTGAGCAGTTTGTCAGAAATGATGTCATTAAACCGCATTATTCAGTATAACAATACATATTTAACGCTAGCCAGTGGTTTTAGACGAGATCTGCTGTCATTTGGGATCATATATCATCAGCCTCATGAGTGCAGGTATCAGCTAACGCTGAATATCTCTAACTGCCAGATATAAGCCCGATGAATCGGTTGACAGTTGTAGTGATTAACCCATCAATACAACTGTCAAAATAATAATTCAGAACCATTGTAAATTAAATCTAGGACTTATAATACCCTCTAAGGTATTTTTAAGGGAACTGAATTCAATGTTTTTTAGGAATTTAAGAAGAGAATTTTCAAGAGATGCAGATACCCTGGTTAAAGCGGACTTGTTAAAGCACTACTTGCAGTTTATTTAGTACAAAATACCTTAAAGTTTATTATCGCTTTAGATTCTTCTCAATCTTCACAACCTCACTGGGGCCAATCATTCGCTCGCATGGCTTCTCTTACCACTGCTACGCAGACGATACAAACTCTACCTAGCCTTCCCGCCAGACAACCCCTCTGTCTCGGCACGGATCACAGACTGTCTCTCGGACATATCTGCACGTATGAAGGCTTGCTGCCCATAACTAAACCTCTCTTAGACTGAACTCTTGGTCATTCAAGCCAAACAATCTATCCACCATAACATCAAACTACAAACTGACTTCTCAACCATCACTCCAACCAGGGTGGTGAGAAACTTGGGTTTCATGATTGATGACCAGCTGTCCTTTTCAGACCATGTTGCTGCTGTCTCTCGGTCGTGCCGCTTTGCTCTATACAACATCTGAAATATCAGGCCCTAGCTCACTCAGTATGCCACCCAGCTTCTGGTACAGGCCATGGTTATCTCTCGTCTCGACTATTGCAATGCCCTCCTAGCAGGTCTTCCAGCTTGTGCGGTGAAACCCCTACAAATGGCTCAGGACGCAGCAGCGCGTCTGGTTTTTGATCAGCCCAAAAGGACTCATGTCACTCCATTACAGTGACCTCCACTGGCTCCCCGTGGCCTCCAGAATCAGATTCAAGTCACTAATGCTGCATACAGAGTGACTACTGGGTCTGCACCCATCTACCTAAACTCCATAATACAAGTTTACGTTCCTTCTCAGCCACTGCACTCCTCCAACGAACACTGCCTGGCTCTGCCATTCCTTCACGCAAAGCAATCCCAGTCCCAGCTGTACACATCTGTGACACCACAATGGTGGAACGAGCTACCACAAGCCATCATAGCAGAGGCGTTCCCATCTAACTTCAAGAAGCTCTTGAAAACTCATCTCTTCTGAGAACACTTCCTCTTATAACACTCCTAACCTCGAACATGCACTTCCTGTGCTCGTCTGCTTCTATCCCCTTACAATTATCTTATAGTGATTGCACTTTTTTGTTAACTCTTACTTTTTTCCTAGGGATTTACCCCATTGATGTGATATGTGCCATTAGCTCTTACTAATATTTATTGCTGCTTTTACTAGTATGTATTGTCAGCTGTAGATCTCGTGCTGTATTTGATGCTCTGTTGATGCTTGTATGTTGTTCCTCAAATGTAAGTCGCTTTGGATAAAAGTGCCTGCCAAATGAGTAAATGTAAATTTATTATTAAACTAAAATGAAATAAAGTGAAATGAGAAATGAAATACAAGCAAGTTCCTATACCATCACCTCCACAAGAAACACCACCAGAGTGTGCTGTTTACCAACTTGCAGCATCTTACCTTGACAAGTTGTTCAGTAAGTCTAAGCCATCTTTAGGTACTTAGAAGATTTAGTCAACTGGGTAAAAACTGGGCTTAATTTGGTTAAAAAGGAAAAGTGTTATATCTGTCGTCTGTGTCTCAACAGCATTTGCATGATGATATTTCAATATGCAGTTTGACCTGCTTTGAGAGATGAAATATAGTGATCTATCAGCCGTTGAAACAACAGGATACGCTTAAAAACAAAACATTCAATTGTCAAACAAATTTAGCCCAGTTTTCACCTAGATGTTTTTTTTTTACCTGCTTACTGGACACATCTGTAAGAATGGTATTGTACAGTATCTGTGATATTAAGACTATATACTGTAGGTCAATATAACCAAATGTGGATTCCTTACCATAACAAAGTACAGCTGAACGGTTTCGCTCATGTTTTAGCCTCTGTGTGTGTATGTGTACTTGTATGCGAGTGTAAATGAGCGTGACTTACGTTCACTGCCAGACGAGTCTTGGCGGTCGGGTTCGGGTGAAGAGCAGCCGCTCTCTGGGCTCTTGGGCTTGTCGCTCTTGTGTTTTCTTTTTGGCACCGTTACCTACACACACACACACACACACACACACACACACACACACACACACACACACACACACACACACACACACACACACACACACACACACACACACACACACACACACACCACAACCAAGTCGGAGCACATACAAACATATCTTAGCATCCACACAAGAAGGGAGACTAATAAATACTAAACAGAAAATAAAAGTCGGCGTTGGCAACGTGCAAGGCATGCTGGTACATCAGTCAGCCACATCCATTTAAAACACTCATCAATGACACACACACCCAGTGTCCGAAATGAACCAAATCTGCCAAGAGCTGGCACATTAAAATAATTTACTTCAAAGGGATTAAACTCAGCTCTCATTCTTAATGCTTTATTTAATGTGATGACGTTTTTTCAGGCCTGGACTCTTTGTCAGCTTTTAAGGTCGATTTAAAAACATTTCAGATCTTGCTTGAAAAAGACCAGAAGGGCAAATGTTAAAGAGCACAAACAATTTATTAGGAAAGGAGCTGGAAATACAGCTTTTTTATGACACTTTAAATTTTGTTTATTACCTGTTATCTACTATTACTATCTACCTATTTCAAAAGCTAAAGCAAAGACCAAAAGAGGTGATGGTGACGTATACTGGATGCACTGACCAACGATAGACTTCACTAACATGGCACTTGGCAGGTGGTCACTTTGAACACACACACACACACAGACATACAGTTTCACAGACTCCATATGAGCAGCAATTACTCCGAGTCCATCACAGCAGCCTTTGATTCTCAACACAGCATGAAGTAGGAGCAGCTCTGTAGAAGTTGAGGCTTGATGAACGAACACAAGATAGCAAAAAACAAACACGAAGATGAGGACAGCTGAATTGAAGGGCGAGGAGGCCGACCCCCTGAAGCAACCAGGCACTGATGCCGGTGGTTGGTCTGTTGATGTGATAGAGTGGAGCTGTTCTTGTTTTTTTAGACAGTGTATGGGAGAAAACTAAATAAAGTGCAAAAAAACACTCCCTCAGACGTGTTGCTCACTCTATACTGAAGTCTGATGGTATATTTAAAGCCAAGGGTTTATTAGCATTTCATTACATTAAACACTGGACATTTGACACTGATCATTATAAAGACCGTAGACTGTAGATTTGTGGCAAATCAGCATGCACACGGACTACTGAGTGTTTGAAAAGTGCCTGAAAACATTGTGTAGAAGTTATTATACTTGCTGCCGCCTTAATTACTCAGACACTGAATTCTTTTTTAGTTAATTCAATACAAGAAAAAAATAAGCTGGGAGCCTGCAGGAAAACAATATTTCCCAATCAGACGCATGTAGTCCTTCATGTTAAATTAGCCTTCTCCTCTTGACAAGAGAAGAAAAGGAAGGAGAAAACCTGGTTATCCACTTCCTCCCATACAGAGAGAACAGCAGGTGCCGAGGATGGAAAAGAAAAAATAGAGACAGAGAAAAAGACAAAAAAGGAGCAGAGGCGACAACGACACAAAGAGAAGAAGCAACAATGAAGACGGTGCACCGGGTGCTGCGTGGAAGGTGGCTGAGGCGGCGAGCTGGGTTTTTTTTTTTCGATCGGGACGACCTACCTGGCACTTGCAATTGTCCCTCCGTGGCCCCTGGTTACTCAGACTAATAAGACTGCCAGAACGTACCATAGGGGTGCGGTGTCGGACCTTGGTCTGGATACAGCCGTCTTTCTCAAACTGGATCAGGTCATTGAGCGGATCCCATGGCCTTGTGCTGGGGAGAGAAAGAAATACGTTCATGAAATGGAGTGTGTGGAAGGAGGGAAAGAGGCAAATGTGAAATAGAGAGGAAGACACAGAAACAAAGAGAGGATGAAAGATATGAATGACAGAAAAATAGTGTGCCTGTCAGTCATACAATATATTAAATCACTCCTGCAGTTACAGGGAATCAGCACTAGATGGCGCCCTGTCACATTGGACAATTCAATATGGAAGATGGGGTAGCAAATGGGGGACGTTCTAAACAAAAGTGCCTTATATTAATACTGACTTTAAGATGTGAATACAGTAAATGTCCTGAACCGGGGGAGAACAAGACAAAATAAAAGACTGATGTGGTTTTAGGTCCTGACATGTAATTCTTCTTTAATTAATGCAAGTGCACTTTTTACAGGCTTTTTCCCAGAATCATCTAACATTTCAGTTTTATTGTTTGTCTTCTAAAACAAGCAAATGTTTTCTTTAAAAACATCAACATGCATCAGTGTCTCTAAAAAATATAGGATGCAGGATTTTCATTATAGGTTTGGTGATTTTAATATGAGCTTTTTCCATTATCCATTTAATTTTTTATTTATTTAATTATTATAAAAGAGCAGTAAATCATATTGAGATCCCCAGTGTCTTTACCTTTCATTTTTGTTTAAAGTTGATTTGTTTCCTACTTGTAAGTGGAGCCCAACCAATGAACAGGAAGCTGATATTACTGGACATTATTAGCTTAACACACAATTTGCACTGCCCACCAATAAGCAAAAAGAAATGTCAGTACGTTCATGCCAAATTTATGTTTGTGGTCATTTAGAAACATCCATTACTCGATAACATGAGCACTGACAACATTACGTTTAACTTTACACTGTAAAATCCCCCACTCGTTATTAGAGTTCATTTTGGAGGACTTTTCCTGGACATTTTCGGTGATGGATCGTGCCATGCATGCGTTCCTCTCTGTGGAAGCCTTATTTGAATGATGTGCAGTTTTTGGCTAGAGGACAAGCGTTACAGAAACATTTCAGTATACAGGCATAACCTTCACATGTTTTAATGTCACTATGTTTACTCCTTTTTTCCCTGCTTTGTTTAAATGCTCTGTTTTAATATTGTTATTATACTTTTAGTTTTTATAGTATTCTGTGATTTAATTTTGTTTCTTTTGGAAAGCCCATTGTGCTCTATGCTTGGCAAGCAATATATAAATAAAATGTATCATCCTTATTATTCATTTATATCCTGAATCCCTTTTTTCTGAATCATTGCTGCCTGAACACCAATAATAATAATAATAATAATAATAATAATAATAATAGTAGCCTATAGTTTTGCCTACTGACAAATCTAGACTGAACTTTACATATTAGGACTATTAACTGCCACTTTTCACACCATACTTTAGCCCCTTTACGATTAATATTAAGTGTCTCAAAAATTATTACATTTTCTTTATTCGCAGTGACACTCACAGGTGAAAGGTTTATAACTACTGATAAACCTGTTCACAGTTCAGTTTGTTTCAGGCAGTAGATATGAAGTAGCCAACTTACATTTGTCTGTCACTGTGCTCTAATCTGATTTTAAATCACACGGGCTGACCGTAGAGGAGTCACTCACTCGGCATATCTGTAATGCCACTCTCCGGTGACGGGGTCCTGCTCGAACAGCGCGGGGATCCACTCCTCACATTTGGCTTTTCGTTCGCGCGCAGACTTCCTCTGAACTTCCTCCAGGATGAACTTCTCATTGGTGGCCTCGGTCTGGTCCTTGTTGTTGATGGCCCGGGTCACGTGCTGCCACAGTCTGATGGATTGAGAGGGGACAAAGTCATGACGTTTATCTGCACTCACAAGGGGGAAAGAGGAGAAAAACTGTATAGGACTAATAAGAACTGAAGGGAGAAAGGGGAAATATCTTGAGTCTGTTGTTTTTCCAAACTTGTGTGAGAACATTTTCAGTGCTTTTTAGAATGCTGATACTCTGATAATAATAAAAATAAAGTCCACCTTTCCGATTCAAAGTCTCCCTGCTCCTCTGGAGGGACGGTGCAGCGGGTCAGTCGACTCTGCCTCAGGTCTGGCGTCGGGTTCCAGAAAGTGTCCACCGTCCCCGTCTTCTTGTCGTTGATGAAGATCTCGCTGTCCTGTGAGGGGAAAGTCAAAAAGCTCTCCTTACCAGCCTAAAGACAGCGTACCACACGACTGCAACACAGTGAAGCAGGTATCGGCATTAGGTGATTACTTTGTTTCTAACTTTGGGCCCAGGCTGATACAAATACCACAGCTTCTTTGAGAAAGAGACACAACTCCATCGTGTTCTTTACCTATAAGAATCTGAATAGTATTAACTTTATGACTAAGTTTAATTATTTGTTTTACTCTTGCATATTGTATGCACATCTTGGTTTATTATGCAACAAGCAGTCATCAGAAGAATGTGTGAAGAACGTGTCTTACCCAGTGACCTTCTAGCGTAGCTAACACCTCCTTTCCCAGCTTGATCTTTCCAGAGACCTGATTGACACTGTCACTGCTGCCCAGGAATGGCTGGAGGAAAGAGTGGGAGAGAAAGGAGGAGGGAGAGGGAGGGGAGGGGGAAGGAGAGAAGGAAGGGGTAGGAAAGAATAGGAAAGAAATGGAGAGGGTCGGACAAAAGGACCAGCAAGAAACGAGCAGGAAAAGCATATGGCAGCAAGAGAAAAATAAAGGAAGGTGAAGAAGTCGAGAGATGGATAGAGGGAAGAGAACAGGAGGAGAGTTTGAAGAAGGTGGAAGGAAGGAGAGATAGATGCATACATTGAGTTTACTTGCTGTAATTGCTGTGGGAAAAAAAAAAGACTGGTTTATCATGTTTAATTTTATCTGCATTTATGCGTCTGTAGTAATTTAAAGCAGGATGGTATAGTATGGTTTGGTTTGCTCAGCACAAAAAAGCCATGAAACTGTAAAAAAAAGCATTTGAATATTACATAACTTAATTTAAGACCAAAGGTAGCAACCACCATCAACTTCCAATTTCCAAACTTAGTTAATAGCTACTTAATGGTTCAAATAGGGTGCAGTGTATTCACAGGTACTCATTCACTCTACTAAACTAGATGTGGCAAAAAGATACCACTTAATGGTGAAAATAACAAAAAGTCTAACAATGAGAGACCCCTATCGCGATCTGTATTTTAAATGGAAATGAAGTGATTTCCCTGTTTGCGTTCCCTGACATGTACCTGTTGCTAGTTCATGATAGAATGATGCAGTAGATGGTGTGAATCATGGTATAGAAGATGGGGTGTGTTTTCAGGGGAGAGGGGAGTGGAATGGTGGAGTTGGTGATGGCGTGGGTGGGGTGAGACATTCAGAAAAGTCACGTGAGAAACTGTTTTTGAAAGAAGACTGGGAAATACTGTAGCTATACATGTTTTGAGGACTTCTCTCTAAAGACGTTTATTACTCAACAGCTCTGAAAGCTCCTACACTGTCAGCAACGGACTTAAACAATCTACAACTCTGAAATAAGTACCTTTATTTTAAAGTAGAAAACACAGCCATACCTTCAGTTTAAACTCAAGCTGAGCGCTGTAGCCTGTTTTCTCACATGCAATGGTGATCTGACCACCCAGCTCCAGGGTCATGGTCCCATACAGGATGCCTACCAGATGAAAAAGCACCATTGAAAAATTCCTTTATCATTTCACCACAAACAAACAAACACAGACACACACACACACACACACACACACACACACACAGAGTGGGTCGCACTCTGACCTTTACAGTGAGCGTAGGGCATGTTCATCACATAGTCCTCTCCCCGGTTGAGAAAAGTGAGCCGAGCCTCCCCGTCCAATATGGCTGACAGGGAGTTTCCTAAAAGGCAAACAGCAGCAGTCAGTGGATACAAAACATAGATAAACAGGCAGCTGAATAATTATTAGCTTTTTTTAAAATTAGAATTCAAGGTGCCTGGGGTGACATTAATTGGACTTTAGTCACGTGTGTACCGTAGAACTTGGACTTCGCGAGGATGCTGCCACTGAGGCAGAATCCGTCCTTCCTGTTGCTGACATAGAAGGCTGACACTGGAGGATGATGGGATACCTGAAGAAAAAACAAACACATGATATAGTCATGTAGGAGGAAATACAGGAAAACCTATTTTGGTTATAGACTTATCACAGATAGCTGTGCTCTTGACCAATCAGATTGCTAGGAGTTAGTGCTCTTATTAGCCGCGCTGCTGTTACCTGTTCTGCGATGTAGAAGGTCTTGCTGTTGGTCTTCTGGTGGAGCCACATGCAGCGGTACGTCTCTCCAATAATGGGGTTATAAGGCTTCTTCAACCCCTGTGGATTACATGCATGACATATGATGTACTGTATGCAGAAAGCATGTATACAGCTCATGAACATGAAGTCAGTTGTACATGTTTATTCTCCTGACCTTTGGCTTTTTGTAAAATCCAGAGATGTACCACTTCACCACCTTCTTCATTCGGTTGTAAGCGTTCTCTTCGATTGCAGCCCTGAAAATTAAACAAACAGTCCAAACTTTGTCCAGTCTACTATTGCAAAATTATTTTGATCAACTCAAGACCCCCATATTCAATGTGTCCTCACAGTAAGACCCCCTGAATATGTTTTACTTTCACATTCGATGAAAGTGTCCATATATCACCTTTTACAGAACAACCAGTCACTGAACTTCAACTGTAAATGCACATTACAAACACAAGAAATCACTGGTAAATTAATGCAAATAAACCAAGATATGTGTTCTGATGTTAAATACTAAATAAACAACTGTTGACACATGAGAAAATTCCTCTATATGTCATTGCTGAAGAAGATAAAAGACCACGTCATTAAACAATGATCTGATAAATGTCTTTAATTAGATATTTTGACAAAAGTGCCTTTTTAAGTACCTGTTGGACCATGTCAATTTTTCTTTGCAAATCCAGCTTTTTTTTCTGTCCTTACAGAGGCTAGACGCCGTAGCGGTATACAGATTCTCATAACAATAGAAGGGACACATATAAGAAAGTAATAAAGTCAAACAAGACATTTATTAATCGGATTTTTGAACTTTGGACATAGCCAGGCCAGCTTTTCCCCATAGTTTCCAGTCTACGCTAGCCTAATCCAATAGCCTGCTGGCTCTAGCTTCATATTCAGCACAAAGATATGAATGTATTGACCTTCTCATTTAACTATTCCTTTAAAAATGGAAAATGGGAAGGCTTACTCTGACAGGAAGTCTGCGTGGTAGTAGTAGTCAGAGAGTTTGTCCAGAAAGGACCGTGGTTCCAGGATGAAAGTGGGTAGCACCACCTTGGACAAATCCATGCCAGGTCGCACCTGCTTCAGCAGAGTCCAGATCAGAGACTTATTCTCCTCTGATACTGTCTCTGTCTGGGCAGCCTCGCCAGCCTTACGAAAAAGATGCACACAAGGGTAGAAACGTTATGTATGTTTCATATCTGCAGCCTGCAATAATACTGCAGACATCCCAGAAAGCACTCAAACATATGAAGACAGATTTACACAGAACATCTGAAACATTTGAGTGTTGTGTGACTGTGCACCTGGCTCATTACACAAGAAACTTTATAACAAAAAAAGCTGAACTTTTAATTCAAGGTAAAGATGAAAATGGTTGCAAACAGTGGACTCTTTGTCCCCTACCTCTCCAAGTTCTTCGTGGGACTGTTCCAGGTACGGGGTTTCCCGCAGATGTTCATTAGGGTCCAGGTCAATGTACGAGTCGTCTTGACGCTCTGACGTGTCACTGTCGCTCTCCTCACTCTTCTCCAGGCCTTCTGGGTCTGACTCCTCGTGGTCCTGTTCACCCTCCCTGTCTGACTTGTCTGAGTACAGGTCTGGGTCTTTCAAGTGGTCACTGTCATTAAACCTGGAAGGAGGGCAGATTGGTAGATGATACATAGATGGTACATCTGAAAAAGAACTTTAAGGGGGAATAATATAGGTGTAGCTTGGGTTTGTTGCTACTCACTGGAAACCGTGGATGTTGTGGGCTCGGAGGAGGCTGTAGAAATTAATGGAGTGTTCTCCGCCGGTGGCTACGGTGCTCATGTCCTCCTTCCCCTCACGGATCATGGTCCTCTTCAGCAGGCTGGAGCACTTCAGGGCCAGCTCTAAGGCGTCCATCCAGCATCGACCTGGGCAAATGTGTTGTAATAGCAATGGATACCAGAAAGGACTAGGTTATTGAAGGCAAATGCTCAAGGATACGACAGTGCATAAAACTTACACTTGGGGGAAGGGAAATATTATACACCAGGGTAAAAAATACCACTTTGGACACTGTTTGAGCATTCCAGCACCATGGAGAGGCAGTCGGACAGGGGGAGACTAGGTTGGATGTTTCAGCACCATGGACAGAGACACAGAGCAAGCTTGGCTGTGGCTAAAACCATTCACTAGTTCACTTTTTACTCACTATGTAGAGAATTTTGTCTAATATTATACCAGTGGTTCTGAAATCTTTCTTTTGTGCCTTTCAGAAGCCAAAAAACCCCCAAAAAACATAAGGCCTCCCACCCCTGCACAAACTTTACCAGTACTGGGGAAACTACTAACAAACAAGCTAAGGTGATTTTTACTGAAGTAATTTTTTAAAAGAAGATACAGGTTAGCGAGACAGCCATGCTAGCATCAGAGTGCTCCATTCCCTGACAGCAGTGATATACTGTATTGACAGAGCAATACAAACTCACATTACTGTTTAAAGTAGTCAGTCGGTGAAGACAAACATGCAGGAGGCAGGACAGTCCACAGGTTCATATGGTCAGATATTTTGCCACCAATTTAGGCATTTAAGAGCACAGGTGTAACATTGGTCTGATTGTTTAGACATGCCGTTTTAAGATAAGGAATTGGTTTAAAATTTAGGGTTATAGTGTCACTTCCCCGAAGGGCCAAATACTGCAAATAAAAGTTGTTGCAGTTTTAAACCAATACTGATATTGCTTTATGAAGCTGAGGCCAATGTGTGTCACTCAACGTAAGCTGCTACTGACAAGACTCAGACAAATAGCTGCGGTGTGATTGACAGCCTGTCTCTTACCATCAGACTCAGAGGCAGCACGGAAGATGAGGTGGCTGCTGGGTAATGGCTGAGTGATGGAGCCAACTGCTTCTCCTTTAGGACCCTGATGGCACCAAGAAATAAAGGGAGGAAATGAATGTTATACATCTAATTCAGTGCTTATGGTTCAGGTAGGTTTCTTTTCATTTTCATTTCTGTGGTTTCGCCGTTTCAGCTACAGAGTTTGCGTTTTTGTCCAGTTTTCATTAATTTATGTGCAAATAGAGGAAATCTAGTCTCCCGAGTATGTCATTATGCAAATGAGCTGTGAGAGGGGACAGAAGCTGACTGAGTGAAGTGTTTATTTAAATAGTGAAGAGAACGATGTGGAGAGCCGGAACGCTGTAATCTAAAACACAGACCGTTTTTTGTGATTCAAGCCTTCTCGTAGTGCAAACAAAAAGCAAAACACTCGCTCGTATTGCGAGGTCAGTGATGAATACCAAATCACAGCTGGAGTGGACGAATGAACAGAGCTGAAAACACTGAAACAAAATGAAAATGCATGCTGCTAAATATAAAAATAGCCTAAATTAAACAAAGATGAGTTCTTAATTATACAGATAACCTCCACATCTGTTTCAGTATTTGTTTTAAATACAGGGAACAAAGGATTTTGTTTTTAATGGAAGAACCTTTTCCACCGTTTATCTGCTTGTGTTCATTGTGTTTTGTTTGAGAGCAAAAACAGGCTGCTTTCAAATTCATCCGTCTGCGTAACAAATCTTTGGCAGTATTCTCCTTCTCTAGCTTTCAAATTCTATTGTGGCAAATAATGGGTTCTTTTACCAGTGCTAAGCTAAGCCAACGGGCTGTTTCTGCTAGCTTTACAATATTGTATGGATATGAAAATGGCTTCAAACTTCTCATCTAACTCTTCTAATCTAATTGTGTGTAAATGTGTATTTTCAAAATGTCGTACTGTCCCTTAAAAGGCCAACTTTGCAGATGTTTATGTGTATGAATGTATTATAATTATGTATTATTATGTATTATAATTTCCCTCTGAACTCCCTGTATTGAAATGTAATATATTTGGGAGACCTGAGTATGATTCCCACTATGACACATCCACCAATGTGTCTCTGAGCAAGACACTTAACCCCTAGTTGCTCCAGAGGCGTGTGACCATAAATAGCAATTTTAAGTCGCTATAGTATCAGCTAAATGACAAACTATTATTATATGTGTATATGTGTGTGTGTGTTTGTGTGTTAGTGCATTTGACAAGACTAAAGACTGTGTCCTTTTTCCACTGGTGAAAATGATCATTAACTTTACCATTAAACTATTTTATATGTATCTTTACAAGCCTTTCATTTATTCATGTCAAAACCTTTTAAGAGGTGGAATATATTCTTGAGATATTGGCTTATAATATTTGTAAATTTCCCTGACATATTCCGCTTTTTTCTCCTCTCCCTCAATTTTCCCAGCCTCAAATGCACACACTAAATGCACCACAATACACGTAAGAGTCACTGATGGCAGCGAATCCTGTATCTTAAGTTTCATCCCAACCTTGACGGCCCAGATAGACTGCTCCAGCGGGTGGAAGAGCTTGAAGCAGAAGCCGTCCTTCTTAGAGGGCCTTTCGATGAGCTCGCAGGCGTTGAGCAGCACCGTTCCCACCCACTGGCCGTTTTTGTGGGTTTTATAGATGAGCAGGACGCCTGGTTTCAGCACACACCACAGCTTGGTCCAGCTCTTCAGAGTGCCACGGATCTGGATCAAATACAGATGAATGTCAGATAGTCTAAGGCTTTACTGAACAAACAGCACGGTTTAGTGAGTGGCTGTTAGGAACACCATCCACAAGTTAGCCACTATCCTTAAGTATGGTATACAGTATCAACAAATACACATAAGCAGAAGTAAATACACATTCCCACCTTTAGCCAGTCGGCCATGACGATGACAGAGGGATCAGTGATGGTGCTGAGAAGCTCCTTGGTTGCCCTCTTCTTTTCTTCCCTGTAGTTTTTCTTTTGCACCTACAGGGAGCAGAAAGAGATCATCAATTTACACCGTGAATATTAAGATTCCACACTTGCTTTCTCGCTGAATTATATTTGGCAGCACATAATGAGACTGGAATCACACTCCTCAGTGTTCCTGTTAACATAACGCCCGGTACCTTCTGACTGTAGAGTGAGCTATCTGATGCATTTTTATTTACACACTTTAAATGTAATGTATCCTGTGGTGACAATGGTGCACAGATTGAAACAATAAAGTTCAACCTATCTAATGCTCAGTATTTCACAGATACGGACTCACAGTGTGAAACAACAGAGCACGGCAAGCATCAGCAATTAGGCTAGATGTGACCCTCCAGATAAGGGTATTTTTAAGATTCAGGCCTGTGAATTAGTGTCCGAAGACTTAAGCGGATTTAAACTTATTTACCTTGAGGGACTCCTTTTTGGTGAGCTTTCCTCCAGACGCTGACACATCCTTGTCTGAGCCATTGTACAGTTTTGTTTCAGACTGTGAACACACACACATAGGGAGAAAAAACCCAGGGATTTAATAGCAGATAACCAACATCTCCATTATTTCTATATCTTCAAATAGTAAATACCTATCTATCTTTGGTTCGCCTGTCATGTTGGGCTGAGAAAACACTACTCAAACCTGTCTGATGATTAGAACCAAAGCTTTCAGGTGAGGATTTGTGTTTTTAAAATGTGTGCGGTCTACTTAACAATCCCCAGCTTGTTTACTTGCTGCACTCTGTGAGCTGCTCTGAATAAAGTCATCCACTAAATGACTACATGCAATCGTGGCTGCAAAGCAGTTCCCTCTTAATGACAAATCTATTAGCACGAATGATTCAATCAACAGAGTTCGCTGAAATGAGGACATCATCACATTAAACCTTTTTTCACGAAAACATTAGCAAAGACTTGCAACACCAGTGGAAAACACCTAGCGCCCAGAAGTGAGTGTTTTCTTTTTCCTCTCAAGCTCGTCTGCTTCCCCGGTAGCCCAAACTTAGCTCAGTTAGCCGAATGAAGCCTATAAATGCCAGTGTGGTTCTGTCTCTGCCAGCTCCCTTCACAAGCCAATTGGAGTGATTTAAAGTGGAGAGACAGACGGGGATATGCGAGGATCCTAATGCAGGGCTACTTAAAGCCTTAAACGCCCACAGGCAGGGTTGGATAAACATGGAAGGTACATGATAACACAATCTTCTCTTTTAAATCCTTCAGCATCCCCATACAGGCTGAGATGGCTTCTACTCCTCAGAAGATTGATGGAGGTTTAATTCTGCTTTTCCACAGCTTTTCTAAGATGGTGGATGTTCTTGATGGCAAAATATAAACATCAAATGAAGTCCACAGATAAGGATTCCTCCAAATCTCACCTTGGTTTTGGGGAGCCTTGCTGACAGCGAGCTTTTGAATCTCTGAAACGAGTATCTTTTCACATGTCTTCGTACTTCACAAAAACCATAACAAAAATTCAATAGGATTCCTGCATGATGAAAGCATCTCTGCTGTGACTCAGAGGGAGACTCAGACACCCACGTTTGTACTGACAAACATATTTGATGTGGACCTCGACAGATAAACTAGACGGGCCTCCTCCACACTGAGCTCACTTGAAAGGACGGCTGAGTGTGAATTTTAGTTGATAAATGTCTGATGTGTACAGTGTGCTGTTTAAGATGTGTGAGTCATCTCAATGTAGGCTTTCTGACGCCTCAGGCAAGACCGGGAAAAGCAAAGAAGACGTGCAGTTATTCCCATATTCTCTTGTCTCATTACAACGCGCACACCAAAGCGCCCAATAGTTCCTTCCCACCCATCATAGTATGTCATCTCAGTGGAGTGATTTTCCTTACCTTGCTCTTAGATATGGAATGTGAGTCCTCTTTCAAAGGCAGAGGCAAAAGGTCCTCCTTCCCTCTCTCGAAACCTGTAACAAAAAATACAACAGCATTAAGAAATGTCCAGCCTCATTCTCCGGGTACCCTACAGTATTCCATTCCAGTAGACAACCTAATTGCGCAACAGAAATTTAGTTTTCAATGATAATCTATTAAGATTTATTTTTTCCTGCGTAAATGTCACTTTATTGTTCCCGTTGATTTCTCTGTTTAGTGGGAAATATATCACCATTACTGTTTTCATCATTTATTCCATTAATTGAACACATCATTAATAATTTGTTGCAGTAACAGTTTGCTCTGCACAACTTTATCCTGATTGTTTCCGGTGTTGTCATGTCCGCTTTTGTGATTCCTGTAGCTGTCGTTGGTGAGATTAACAAGCCATTGCATAAGTCCAAATGTCTGAGTAGCTGATTGGAATCCCTTTCCATTATGTCAGTCCCGGGAGCTGGCTGTTCTTCAAAGCATCTGGAAGCAAGCCACAGAATCTGGATGGCAACAAGCCGACGCCCGCTGAACGTCCCTAATCTGAACTGAACTCTGAAGTTAAATAAATTGGCTGGTGAAAGGAGGTTCCCGGTTTTAATCCAGTTTGGCTGGCACAATGTGGGTGTTGACGGGAAACTCAACGTGCTGACTCAGTTTCCAATGGCTCCAATGAAGATGCTGAGGGAAATGTGTAAATTTCCCTTAAATGTCAAACTGGGCAATGATGAAGATGTAGTTTAATGTAGATTTAGCGGGTTGTGTGAAACCTAAACAAATGTAAACTTGCTGTTCTTCATTTGAGCTCCATCTTGGCATTTCTACTCTTAGTGTGCTTGTTTCTAACCAATTAGTCTAACCTCAGCAACAGATTCCCCACTGAGAACCCGCAGTTGGTGACACTGGCAGTCTAAAGGTGACAGAAAGCCTGTAAATATTTTATAGTATCCGTCTCCTATCCACAGGCCATCAGTATTCAGCCATGAGAATGAAGGAAGCACTGCTGAGTTCTGTTAGCAGGATCATAGTAGCTGTGACAAAATATGCATCCTTTTATTCTTCCTGCATACTTTCATTTTGTCCTGCAGACATCCAGGATCTTGAATTTTTAAATTACTGTTTTCAGAGAAAACCCAAGTTTCAAACTCCACGCTTGGGTTCTTTAATAACAACAATGTGATGTTCAGTGCATTACTGTGCAGAAATGCTTTTGTCATATCCGTATGACATATATTTTAACAACCTGCCTCTTCTACCCTGCTCTTCAATTCCCAGTAATGCCTTTTAACAACCTCCTACATTACTAGCTTGCTTGCTGGCAGCGTATTCCGTGGAAATAGATAAAACAGTAAGGTTTGTGATAGCAGACAAACGCCAAACCAAAATGCTTCTAGAATTGAAAGGCACAATATTGCCAAAGTGTTTCAGGGGGGTATTTTCTTTAACTAGCTAGCTAACAGAGTCTTCTGAACATACATACAATACAATCTAACTAGTTTTCCCCCAAACAATACCTCTTGGTAATAAAATAAAAAGCTGCGGTAGGTCAACAGCCTTGATGTAAAAGTGCTACTTGAGAGAGCATCAACTGTATACCTGCAAGTCCTGTTCCAGACACTTCAGCGATATGAATGATTAATGAAAAAATCATGAAAGCATGAATCATGAAAGCACTATACCTGAAAGTTCCTTATTTTCTATGCCAACCTGCATGCATGAAATGAAAATTCATCTAGAAACAGGAGTGTTTCCATTTAGCTTGCAACATTAGAGCTACACAGGGTTTAAATTAGCTAAAGCTCCAATAAGGCAACCACAGTGCTATACCTCGAGACATGAGAGCATGCATTTGCTTTTGTTTTATTGTGGATGTAGTTTCCGTGATACATTAGTTGTCCCACCAGACCATCTGTGCCCACTTGACAGGCCCATCTCCATGCCAACATCAGCTGGAAAACAACTCGACGGCAATTCACCCGCTATAGCAAACCATAAAAGGTTACATAACTCACCATGGCTTCCCTTAATGTCAACGTATAGGGAGGAAACTGGATGTTCATAATAGAATAATTGAGTTAATTAAAATGTGACATTGTCTAAAAAAACATTGTATGAATATTTGCATCTTCCTCTGCTCTGTTGTTAAAGCAGAAGGCTTTAACTCCCATGTTCCCTCCCTCTCTCAAGAGCAGTACTTAACACACTAACTGCAAACTAGTAATGTAGAAATACCAGAATCATCCGCCTTTGTCCAAAATGATGGTGTGTTGTGGAATTTCATGCAAATATTTAGTAAAAAGATAATCCAAGTGAGACAAAGAAACATCACACCTGTAACAGATGAAATATTTTGCAATAAAAGAATGATAACTGAGGTAATTAACTCGCTCATTTGCATGCTTGTTAGCCCACCGTATTTGCAATCAAGCAATCAAAATGAAAGTGGTCCACTGTGATGAAGTGTCCCATTTCAATGCGAGACACACAAGGAGCCGCTTTCTCCACTCCATTAAAACTTGTGTTCAGAGACCGAATTAGGTTACCATGGCACAACGAATACACACACTCAAAAAACTATTGTTTCAAGCTGAATTATTTTATTATAGTAAGAAGAGCTAGGCATACAGCTTGTTAAATAAATATGGCTAGGTGCCATAATGATAAATTAAAAATGAAGCTGAATATTTAGCTTCCTTACTCCATTTTGTGCAGAAAAACACAAGTTCATTTATCAGTATGTCTAAAATAAGGACTGAAATTATGTCTACCCATGTGGCCATTGCTAATCAAAGATGTTTTAGGACTATAACTTGTTCAAATCACTTCAGGTGTCACTTTTAGGATTCAGACAAAACCTTTCTTTAATACACACCACAATACATTAGCTTCTAAAATAATTCACCTTGGGTATGTGGTATTTTTCATGTGTAATCTTAATCCCAAATAAAGCCCTTTTAGGCAAATTTCTGGATTATGCAAAATATTACGGACAATGGATGGGCCTAAAAATGGGGTTTGTCCTGAGGGCTACAGTAAAGTGTTTCCTCTGCTAAGCCCAACGCCAGAGCAGGGAAACAATGCTTGTGTGAAACCACCAGGAGATTTTAGGTAAAGAGGGTTTTAGTGGTGTGAGTGTCACAAAGAAGTGATTTTAAGTAGGAATAATGATGAGCCTGACTTCTCGGATGCTGCTATCCCCATCTGTGTTATTTTGGCCAGGACGACACGAGGGGTGTATGTGTCTTTTTGCCCACAGCTCTTAATGAATGCCAACTGCTTGTAATTTAAGTAACCTAAGAATTAAATTATTCATGTCATGTTTTTTGCATTGAAACTCCTATCCACAATTACCCCTCAAAGTGCGGTGCCCTGTGGTTGCTGATTAATAATATAGCAACCTTTTTGATGTGAAACGATCTAAAATGTAGTCATGTAATGTAATGTACCCTCTTTGCAGCCAAATTCACAAAAGTGTGGCAGAAGAAAGCTCTATAATGGAAACAAATACATGAAAAGTAAAAGATATCCACTTAATTTGCATAAAAAAAGAGCAAAGGAATGAAGATCAATGAGAATTTCAAGATAAAACAAGTCTTTGCCAGCTTGCTCAGTGAACATCCTTTGGGAGATTTCACTGGATCAAAGCTAAATTAGTCATTTACAGCGAGTGAGTCTGTTTTAATTTTGATGGAAGTACGAATGTTTTCTGGCACAAATTTACAGTAAATCTTTTCCCAACATTCAGTGTGTAAATGGGCTAAATCTAAGCCTTGCTCTTTGTGACTGAGTGTCAGGGCGGGAGTGTATGTTTGTGTGCATAGCTGGCGTTTTAGAGGACTCACGCCCCGCTGCAGACTCACAAAAACCTAGAGCTGCAGTGACCTCACTCTGCATCAGAGATCACAGACAGGAGAGAAATAGAGAGAGTAAAGAGACATAAAGGAAGAGCTATACGCTGCTCCAGTGAATGTCTTTCCACATTAACGCTCCGCCTCACGAAATGAATACAGTCTAGATCACCCATAGCACTACACCAAAATTACAGCATTACACTGATTTCCATTCAGTTTGACCTGAAAAAAATCACTTTAGAAGAATGATCTGCCGTCGTCTGCGGGTTGCGGTGTTTTAGACATTCAGCACCTCGACCCCTGAAATCACGTCATCTTAATCCAATCATGACTAATGCAACACTGACGCTGCCCCTAACACTCCAAAACCAGTTCATTATCTCTTTTTGGACAGCTCCAAGGCAGTCCCTGTGGAGCTGGTATCGTAGATTCTTCCTGCACCAAAGGTCATTTTAGGGAAAAACTGATTAAAAAAAGATTGGTTAAACTAAATAAACAATGCAGCTATGCAGAACACTATGCTTATACGCTCCTTTAAAACATTATTCAAAAGCTACTGTATTAACTCAATTACGCTGCTATATTTTGCAGGGGAAATGTGAAAGGCTACCATGGCAACAGGCGACTTGAGAACAACAAATGGAGGGAAAAGCTGTCGGCACTCTTCAGAATACATCAATTTTAGGGAGCAAATTGCCCGAGTGTTTGCTACTGGGGAAAACCTGCCATGGCAACAGTCTCTACTACTTTGGCTCAAAAATCATGAAAACTGAAACTGCTCTGTGTTTCACAGGGATTTTTATAACTGTCGCACAATGCGCGTACACTGCGTGTGATCAGAGTCGCTTCAGAGCATCTTTTGTGTGATTTGACAGTGCGGATTACAAAGGCAAGGCATGTTTATTTGTGTTTCACAAACATTTCAACAACAAGGCAATTCAAAGTGCTTTACATAAAACATAAAAGCAAAAAAGGGAAATAAACACATTAAAATATAATTTGAGGAGGAGGAAGAGAGAGAAAATAGTGAGGGCCACAGAGAAGAGACAGGCCAGAAAAAGCGACAGAAAACTCACCAGAAAACTGTGGCCACAACTCCAAAAAAATCACATGACAGGCAGGCACGCATTTTTTTTTTTTTGGGAATAAACATCACTGAATTTTTTAAGCATCTACCTCTAGATTTACAA